CAGTCCATGGTGGGGGTGTGAGGGGTCTTTGATGATATTACGGGCTCGGGACACACAGCGCTGTGATGAAATGTCCTTAATGGAGGGAAGAGGAGCCCCAATGATTCCTTCCGCTGTCCTCACCACCCTCCTCACATTCTTCCAGTCAGAAGCTCTGCAGCCTCCACACCACAGAGAGAGACAGCTGGTCAGAATGCTCTCTATGGTGCTTCTGTAGAAGGTTGTGAGGATGGGCGGGGGCAGGCGGGCTCTCCTCATCCTCCGCAGAAAGTACAAGCGCTTCTGTGCCCTCTTCACTAGAGATGAAGTGTTTACAGTCCAGGTGAGGTTGTCCGTGATGTGCACCCCCAGGAACTTTGTGCTGCTGACCACCTCCACAGCTGAGCTGTTGATGAGCAGTGGAGCATGGTGGGGGCGGTTTTTCCTGAAGTCGACGATGATCTCCTTCGTCTTCTCCACGTTCAGGATCAGACTGTTTTCACTGCACCAGTCCACCAGCTGCTCCACCTCCTCTCTGTAGTCCCGGTCGTTGTCGTCCCTGATGAGGCCCACCACCGTGGTGTCGTCCGCAAACTTCACGATGTGATTGGTGGTGAACCTGGGGACGCAGTCATATGTCATCAGGGTGAACAGCAGGGGGCTCAGGACGCAGCCCTGAGGGGAGCCCGTGCTGAGGGTGATGACATCAGAGGTGTTCTGACCGACCCGGACTGACTGAGGTCTGTTGGTGAGGAAGTCCAGCAGCCAGTTTCGAAGGGGTGTGTTGAAGCCCAGATGTTCCAGCTTTCCCACCAGGTGCATTCTTACATCTCAATTCAACATTTCATACATGTCCTCAGTTTGCATATTCCCCGGGATTTAAATAATGCTTCTTAGTGGCAGCCTTCTGTCCTCTCTAGTTTCCTGTACTTGACAAGCGCTGATGGAGAAGTTTAGAGAGTTACTACGTGATGACAGCTTGCTATCCCAGCACATGTGGTCACATCTTGTCAGTATAAGTGGCTCTCACACCCTCAAGCACCTCAGTCTGTTGAAGGCCTAAAACAACTTGGCAACAGGATAACAAGGTGTGGCCCTGTGTTCTGACAGGGAGGGGTGTGCATGAAATGATTTCATATTCCTTTCCTTGTTTGAATGTCTGTTCTTAAATTTCTTCTCGAGGTCTATTCTTAGTTTTCTTATACTCTTGTGACAATACCACTTCACTACCTTTCATTCAGAGCAATAGTGCATTTACTAGAAGTTTGTTCTACCATTTGGCTCTTCCATTAGGTTTTACCATAATGTTATGTCCTACCATAAGTAATCATTACCATTAAGCTTTACCATTAAGCTCTTCCTTTAGATCCTACTGTCAGGTTTTACCTTTGAGTTCTACTGTTAGGCTTTCCCATTAGGTTCTACCATCAGGTTCTACCATTAGGCTTTAACAGTAGACTTTACCATTAGGCTCTAACATTAGGCTTTATCAGTAGACTTTATCACTAGGCTTTATCAGTATACTTTACCGTTAGGCTTTACCTTAAGGTTCTACCATTAGGCTCTACCATTAGACTTTACCACTAGGGTTTATCAGTAGACTTTACCATTAGGCTCTACTATTAGGTTTTACTGTTAGGCTTTAACAGTAGACTTTACCTTTAGGCTTCACCATTAGGCTCTATCAGTAGACTTTACAATTAGGCTTTACCATTAGGCTCTACCATTAGGCTTTATCAGTAGACTTTACCATTAGGGTTTATCAGTAGACTTTACCATTAGGCTTTACCATTAGGCTTTACCATAAGGTTCTACCATTAGGCTCTACCATTAGGCTTTATCAGTAGACTTTACCATTAGGCTCTACTATTAGGCTTTACCATTAGGCTTTACCGTTAGGCTTTACCATTAGGTTCTACCATTAAGTTCTACCATTAGGCTTTAACAGTAGACTTTACCTTTAGGCTTCACCATTAGGCTCTATCAGTAGACTTTACCATTAGGCTTTACCATTAGGCTCTACCATTAGGCTTTATCAGTAGACTTTACCATTAGGGTTTATCAGTAGACTTTACCTAATGGTAGAACCATAAGGTTCTACCATTAGGCCTCACCATTAGGTTCTACCATTAGGCTTTACCATTAGGCTTTATCAGTAGACTTTACCATTAGGCTTTACCATTAGGCTTTACCATTAGGCTTTACCATTAGGCCTCACCATTAGGTTCTACCATTAGGTTTTACCGTTAGGCTTTTCCATTAGGCTTTAACAGTAGACTTTACCTTTAGGCTTTACCATTAGGCTTTACCAGTAGACTTTACCATTAGGCTTTACCATTAGGCTTTACCATAAGGTTCTAGCATTAGGCACTACCATTAGGCTTTGCAATTAGGCTTTACCATTAGGCTTTACCATAAGGTTCTACCATTAGGCTCTACCTTTAGGTTTTACTATTAGGCTCTACCGGTATTAGCTATTAGGTTCTATAATTAGGCTTTAGGCTATGTCTGATTTGTTTTTCTGTTCGGGACTAGAGACCTTCCTATACCTATGAAGAAAGTGTATTTACTTTAGAAATATTTTACATTTCATTTATATCTTAGACACAATCATTTTAAATAGCTTTAATGTGCATGCTTATTTGTATATGAGTGAACTTGATGTACAAGACGGGATTTAGTTAAAAAAAAAAATAAGGGAAATCCATCTTTAGAAGATTTTCCATTTTACAAATTTATAAAAACCAATGAGTCTACAAACTATGTGAAATAGCATGTTTGCGGTCTGTCTGGCCTGTCCAAACCTTCCCAGGGACATGTGGTATTCTGCCCAGCTTCCCAGAACCTTACTTTACAACGTAACATCATTTTCCAAACTCCTCCCCGTACCCGTCTGCGTTAGGTTTAGTGGGGTGGCCTAAAATCCACTCCCTCTCTAAACAATCCAAATTCCAAGCAAAAGAAAAGAGTTTCCGCTTTAGGTTGTGTCTCTATGTGGTGTTTACCACATGTCTGCCTTCCTGAATATTTAAAGGACTGAATAAAGTTATGAATCTAACTGTAACATCTGATCTACCTCTCAAGGATCGACAGTTAGAAATTGTTTTCCTTCCTTTTTGGGAAAATGGAGGTCTACAGTATTGATATGACATTTTCCTTCAAAAATACACATTAAGAAATTAACATGTACAGTATCCTGTCAAACCACTGTCTAAAAAAAGATGTAGTGATAAATCCACCTAAACGCTTTTAAAACAACAAATTTTCTCTGTCTTCCTGTTTGTGTATTTTTACCCTCCAGTCCAGCACTATTAAGAATAAAGCTAATACCATCCATTTTATGCAATTTTAATACATTTTGCTTAAGGAAGAACAGTATAATACGTCGATTGCAGCATAATTAACATTCATTTCTGCTAGCATACCTTTAATTCAAACTATGCCAGATAGCGCACTCTATTAAGCTAGAGAGAATGCTAACTTAAAGAGTATACCTTAATACATTTATATTATTGTATTAATTTGGTTTATTTTCTTTGTATGTGTGTATGACATGGGTTATTGCTAACTTGTGGTCTATATTTCATGTTAGAAATATGTTTATTCAGGTATATGTTGGTGTGTTTAATGTTTCTCCACTTCGTATGACTTTCGAGGATTTTAGTACATTTTCCAATAATTTACCTGCAGCTGGGTCACAGTGAGTTACTTTAAAAGTGTTCATAGAAATAAAAATAACACCCTTGGTTTACCGTTGGACTACAGTTCATTGATTTAACTCGCAGTACATTTGCGTAAAAATGTGTTTAAGCTCATAACCTAGCTTTATTACTCCAGTTAAGCCGGGTTTACACTGTGCGATTTGTTTTTGCCCTTTTCAGGCCGATTCTCGGTTGTGCGAGAATATTTTGATCAGCTGACTTTCAGCCTGATGGTGCGTGGTGTACAGGGGGTAACGAGGGTCGATCAGCCTCTAACGACCACCTCCCCGTCAGGAATTGTAAGGTTTGGAGAAAATCACACATGTTCCCTTGGCCGTCGTAAGGTGGTCGTGGGCAAATCGCTCAGTGGGCAAACAAGGATTCTTCTTCTTCCTCTTGGAGGAAAACCCAGCAGCATGGCGGGGGGCCAATGAGTGAAATGGAGTTCTTTCTGTCAAACTGACAGACCGTAGTAGCCACGTTAGCTCAGCCATGTCTTTGTCCAAATATGTCGTCTCCTTTTCTTTTTAGGGCTTTCAGCACAAAATTGCCCAAATATCCAAGGCAGCGCGTTTCACTCTAGTGAGCTTCATATTCCTCTGCTACTGGTTTGGCTTCCAGATAGACGAGTCCGAGTAGCGCCATCTCACTCCGGAGCTGAGTCCCACCTGCTTTTTAGACGTGCAGTGTGAGCAGGTAGATCGCATCAGAGCGTCGGGTCGCACAGTGTGAGAACAAACATCGTGAGCTGAGAACTTTTAAACCCTGAGGTTTCCTCATACATCGTGAGCTGTAGCTGCGAGCAACGATTGAAATAATCGCACAGCGGATACCCGGCTTTAGCTTCCTACACTGTAAAACATCAAGTTGTTAATTTTAAATTCAGTGGAAGCTGTACAATTTTCTGTTACCTCCGATGCATGTCTTTTTTTTCAATTACTTATATTGTTTTATTTAACCAAAGGGAATTCTAGGAAAATTCACCAAGTTTTCCATGGTTTTAAATATCCTCATTTTACTCCTAGAATTAGCTAAATCCTAATTTAGTACATGAATAATAAACAGTGAATAAATAGAAACCCAAACGCTGCATTCCTCTTCCAGAGAGAATTAGTTTCTGATGATGATTTAGTCTTTTATTAGGGAAAATAATAAGGTGTAAATTTATCGCTGTTGTACAAGCAGCTACCCAGGAGGCCAAGATCTGTTGCCTTAGCTGGAAATGGAAAATTAAGCAGGTTTACAATGGAAGTCAAAATTAGTAGACTATGATGTTTTTTTTCCCCTTTTTTAAATAATTTCATGATTTCCTGTCTGCAGATCACAACCCCTTCATTCCCGGTGGTTGTCAAGATGGGTCATGCTCATGCAGGCATGGGGAAGGTGAGTCCTTATAATTAACTATCATAAACACCCTTACATCCGATTAAAGCCATTTTGTTTACTTTACTGTTAGGAATCCTTATACCTTTCGTTAGATGACCAGTTATGATAGAAATATTATTGCTAGATGCCTACAGAATGCAGGTCAGAACATAGAAAGGCATCTGAATTGCATAATGGAAATATTAATGGATTAAGGCCTTTTTAAAATGATATTCTGTGTTTCCTTCTGTCTGGAAGTCTTTTAACTGAACCAGAGAAAAACTGAGGTAAACTTGTTTTTTTCCCCAAAGACGTAGAGCTTTCCTTTACACTCATGAGCCTTCAGGAAACAAACCTCAGAAGTTCCTGATTGTACCGACAGACTCTGCCTCTCAGTGAACTGGAAACAGACACTTTGTTCTTGTCTTTCCCAGCTGACTGGTTAAAACATTAAAAGATCACTGCTGTGTTAAAATCCCTGTTATGACTACTGGTTATATAACACCTCGAAGAACAGCACACTAGTGTTTCATCAACTGAGTTATACAATAGTTTTTAAGAAAAGTTGAAGAAAGCTGTTTTCCATTATTTATTGAAGTTTAAAGAAGGAAATTCATATTTTAAATGTTTTGCCTTCACTAATCTGGAGGATTCCTGTTGGATTAAGATACTCTGGAATATTCCAGAAAGCTCAAGGGCATTTTTCTATAAAAAGACTTGCCAAGTCATGCTTGTGTTCTTATCATGAAAGAAAGTAGCTTGTTTGCTGACATTGCTACTGTTAGACTAAATAACTGTTTAACCTCAAATGTTGGTTTTACTAAGTATGTTCTTTTTATGATTATTTTAAAGTGACAGCACTGGTAATTTGGGCCGCTTTAAAGATGCCCGCCCTGCTTTTACATTTTTTTTACAATTTTGGGGACATTCTCTCTTAGTATGCTCAGTTTTCCTCCTATTTGTTACCCTTGGGTTGTTTTATATCGTCATCGCAAACAGGACTACTTTGTTCCACCGTGGAATTTATTTCACTTTATTGGTGTTTTTGGAATCTTTGTCTACAAAAGCCATGGAAACCAAAAAAATCTCCACTTTCTGAGTATTCTAAGAACAATGGCTTGAAAAATTTTCTTTCCTTGTTCAGGGCAACCTTAGTGTCAGGATTTGGTGTTGGTTTGAGGACCCAAATGCAGAGGCAAGTAGGCAGAGGTGAATTTAGGTGGGTTTAATGAAGTTTACAGGTACGGAGGCAGGAATCTAAGATCCAACAAAAATAACAACGAACCAGAACCAAGGAGACATCAGGGGAAACCAAACTCTAGGAGCCAGGGAGAGACGAGGTAAACAGACAGACGTTTGACGAGGATCCAGCAAACAGGAACTGAAGAGGGAGGCTTTTAAAGGGGACAGAGACAAAGAGAGGGCTAACGAGGGGATTGAAAACAGGTGAGGGCAGAGCAGAAAACAGAGCTGTGGAAAGAGGACACAAGAGGGCAGCAGAGGACAACAAATGGAAAACCAAGACTGTGACACTTAGTGTGAAAGTAGCCAATATGGTTCTACTTGTGGCCAAGTGCTTCATTTTTATGGCCAGCATTTCTTTTATTCTGAAGTCCCAGTCTTATTCTCTACCTCAGTAGCTAGCTTTCTGAAGGCTGTTTATTTTAAAGATAACCAGATAACTATGTAGTGACAGTAGATATTATATCATATCTCCTCTCCATAAATCCCTCACACCAAGCATGCATGCAGTGAACATGGAGAGGAATAATTCAACTTTAACAGGAAGAAACCTCTAGTAGAACCAAAATGAGTATGTGCGGCCTTTTGCTGAGGTCGGCTCGGGGTTCAAGAAGATAGAAGGAGACATACAAAAGGAATACAGAAACGCTGATCTAGAAATACTGTCTTTGTTAGAAAAGGCAGCAGGAAACCAGTTTTCATGTCAAGAAGGACAAAACAAGGTGCAAATTTAGGGGTGCAAATAACACTAATATTGCAGAGTGGGAGAATAGAGAGAGAATGAAGCAGAATGATGAAATGGGGGTCCCTATGTCCTCCAGCAGTCTAAGCCTTTAGCAGCAGAACTATAGAGATAGCTCAGGATAACCTGAGCTACTCTAACTAGAAGCTTTATCAAAAAGGAAAGTTTTAAGCCTAGCCTTAAAAGTAGACAGGGTGTCTGCCTCACGGACTAAAACTGGTAGTTGGTTCCACAGGAGAGGAGCCTGAGAACTAAAAGATCTGCCTCCCATTCTACTTTTAGAAATTCTAGGAACCACTAGTAAACCTGCAGATTGAGAGCGAAGTGCTCTGTTAGGAACATAAGGAACAATCAGATCTCTGATATAAGATGGAGCTTGGCCATTTAAGGCTTTATATGTGAGAAGGAGGATTTTAAATTCTATTCTGGATTTAACAGGAAGCCATGTATAGGCATATAAATAAACTATGCATCTTTAGTGGCAGATGTGAATTCGGTTTTGGAAACCATGACTTTTTAAATAAGTTTATAACAGTCCTCACACTCAGTTGTTTCATGATTCTCTATTAAATTATACAATTAACCAATAAATACTTTTGTATTTGTTGAACTAAGTGAAAGAAGAAACCAAGACACTGGTCTCCAGGATCTCCCTGGTAGCAGGTGCTCAAAGCTACAGAGCACATAACTTTACTTTAGAAGATGTTTTGATTTGTTAAAGCAAACGGTTTGCTGGAGATTTACCAGGTAAACGTATTTGGTGAAAAATGAATTTAACGTCAGACATGTTCTGTGTTGATTAGCTGCCACTGCGTCACTTCCCTCCAATCTGTGTTTACAGTCACAGCCCAATAACTTGATAGTGACGTAGTTCAAAGGCACCCCCAGCCATGCTTCCATCCAGGGACCCTTCATTATCCGGTCTGCATACGAGTGTGAGATTCCTGTGGGATTTGGAGCGGCCGCTGCCTGCTTTTGGCAGCCGGCGCCTTGCTTTGTAATTAGCCACCGACTAACGAGAGGCGTCTCTCCTGCAGATTAAAGTGGAAAACCAACAGGACTTCCAGGACATCACCAGTGTGTTGGCCCTGGCGGGGACCTACGCCACCACCGAGCCCTACGTCCAGTCCAAATACGACATCCGCATCCAGAAGATTGGAAACAACTACAAGGCTTACATGTAGGAGGTTTTCACACAACCAGCACCTTAAGAAAGAATCTGAGAGTCAGTTATGTAATTTGTTCCTCCTGCATGAACAGTAAGGCCATTTCAGAGAACAAAATCTACTTTCCTAATTCCATTCAAAGAAAATCCTGAGCTAAACGTAAAATGTAACTAAACCAACCTTTTCACATTTTTTAACTGACTTCAGTTTATTTTATCATGCTTAGATTTTACTGTATGACTTGGGGTAAAGAATAACTCATAACGAAAGATTGCCACCGATTTTGAATTTATTCAGTTTTCTCCACCTTTTATACCCTTAAATAAAACTTTTGTTTGTGACAAATAGTGAAAATCTGACCTTTACTGATAAATAGTAAGAAAAAGTCCTGATTAAAGTCATCCGTTAGTCATGCAGGGTGAAATATTTAGAAGAACTTTGTCTGGTCAGCCCTTATACTCAGCATGCAACACTGTGTGTTGATGAAGCCAACATTATGCACTATTAGTGATGCTTATTGATTGTAGTTTGTAACTTCTAAACATTCTGAGCCTTTGACCCCAAACATCCCAATGCAACAGACTGTGGCTATGGAATTACTTCCCTCTATATTTATTTATGCATTTAAAATGAAATATTTATTTTCAATTCTATTCAGTTTATTTCTATAGCTCCAGTTCACATCATGTCATCTCAGGTCACTTTCCAGTTCACCAGATCATCCAGTCAGTTTTCTATCTAAGGAATACCAGCTGATTGCATCGACTCATTGACTCTTCAGCAATCCCTCACACTAAGCATGCGTGTAGCGACAGTGGAGAGGAAAAACTCCCTTTGAACAGGAAGAAACCTCCAGCAGAACCAGGCTCAGTGTGAGCGGCCATCTGCTGAGGCCCACTGGGGTTCAAGGAGTCAGAAGCAGTTTTTAAACATATACATTTTTTAAATGATATTTTAATCAATTTACCACTTTAAAGGTTTAATTATTCAATAGGAAATATAATTATTTATTATGTATTTTTACAATTTAATGGAATAGTTAATATTTCCATCATGTATTGGATATATAAATTAATATATTACCAAATTAATTTTGGTCTTTTATTTCTACTAGCAAAGAACACATTTTATAAATACGAGAAACAAAAAAAAATCAAGGAATAAAACTGTGAAAAACTTCTAAATACAGATTTTAGAAAGAAGGTTTGCTTTTTTGTCAGAAAATAAATAGTATAGAAATCATTCATTATGATTTCTGGATGTTTTTTTAGATTACGTCTCTCATGGTGAAACTTCGATGACGATTTCAGACCCTCAATCAATTCTAAGCGGTAAAACTTGTAAAATAGCAGGGTGTTCAAATACTTATTTTCCTCACTATATATCTCAGAAATCACATCACAATGATTGTGAAAACCACGTCCCTCCAGTTTGGGTATCCCCCACCCTGAAAAAAAGACAAACGAATACCAAACTTTAAGTTTTTGTTCTCTCCACTTTTTCTTTATCATTCATTACTTTGTGTTGATTTTAAAAATCAAGGACATTGCAATGAAATTTAGGCTAAAAGATGCATATATAAATTCTTTATTCATCATCTGGTTTTAGCCTGAGATCCTAAATATATGTTTCAGTGATGCAGTCAGGAACAAGCATGTGTCTAACTTCACTTCCAGGCATATTTGACTCATTCCCATTTGGAATCAACAGAAAATGCAAATCATAAAATCAGTCGAGCGTGAAGAAGCAAAAAATCTTGAGTCAACACCCAGCTAATTTCCAGGTCTGCAAAGGTGAGAGCAGAGAAAAAAAAAAAAGATAAAAACTGTCTGATAACGTCTAGCTTAATGACGCAGGGCAGCTCTCTAAGTAGCAACAGCTCTATTTATTTTATGTCTATATTTTTTAGGAGAACTTCAATCTCTGGTAACTGGAAGGCCAACACCGGCTCCGCCATGTTGGAGCAGATCGCGATGACGGACAGGTGAGCCGCCCCTACAGTTTTCCTGAAAAAATCCAACACTTTGTAAAATAAACAGGAAAAAAAGTATTTTTATGACTTCCTGCTGCCTCATGACAGTACTAATCAGATTTTACAGACGTGGCTTTATAAATGTGTGTTCTTCACTGGTTAGACTTTGACAAATTTTATTGTCGTTTTGTATACACTGTGTATATAAAACAACATTTTGTTTTGTTCATTTTTCAGACAGTAAATGAGCAGCAGCTTAGCAGTGAAATAAAGTTCAGCAGTGGTCAAATGTAAACACTGTGGGAGAAAAAACAAGGTGCAAAAAACACACTAATCTGGAAGTTCAGAGCATTAATATCTATGGTGCAAATATGCAGTATTTTGGTTTGGTGTTATCAGTGTGATGGCCTCCGCAGGAAGTCCAAGCGCTACTGGGCCCTTTGGACCAGTGAGGTGGTGTTTCCAGTCCAGGTGAGGGTGTCTGTGATGAATGTGGTGCTGCTGACCACCTCTACAGCTGAGCTGTTGATGAGCAGTGGAGCGTGGTTAGGCCGGTTCTTCCTGAAGTCCACCATGATCTCCTTGGTCTTCTCCACCTTCAGGATGAGGCTGTTATCTCTGCACCACCAGCTGCTCCACCTCCTCTCTGTAGTCTAGGTCGTTGTAGTCTCTGATGAGGCCCACCACCGTGGTGTCGTCTGCAAACTTCACCATGTGATTGGTGGTGAACCTGGGGACGCAGTCATGTGTCATCAGGGTGAACAGCAGGGGGCTCAGGACGCAGCCCTGAGGGGAGGGGCTTAGACTGATGACATCAGCGGTGTTCTGTCCGACCCGGACTGACTGAGGTCTGTTGGTGAGGAAGTCTAGCAGCCAATAGCAGAGGGGTGTATTGAAGCCCAGCTGTTCCAGTTTGCCCATCAGATGCTGTGGGATGATGGTGTTGAACGCTGAACTGAAGTCCAGGAACAGAATCCGCACGTGGGTGTTCTTCTCCTCCCGGTGTGCCAGGCTCAGGTGGAGAGCAGCAGAGATGGCGTCCTCAGTGGAGCGATTCCGTCGGTAGGGGAACTGGAACGGGTGGAACGTTGGCGGCAGACTGGAGACGATGTGTTCTTTAACCAGCCTTTGGAAGCACTTCATCATGATGGGAGTCAGAGCGACAGGCCGCTAATCATTGAGGGAGGCGACCTGAGGCTTGTTTGGGACTGGAATAATGGAGGCAGACTTGAAGCATGCTGGCACTATGGATTGGTCCAGCCAGGTGTTAAAGATGTCTGTGAGGACACCAGTCAGCTGACCTGCACACTCCTTATACACCTGCCCAGGTATGTTATCAGGCCCTGGGGCCTTCCTTGGATTGACTCTCCTCAGAGTTTTCCTAACTTCAGCTACGTCCAGGTTTAGTGCCTGTCCTGGAGTTTCTACATGGCCCCCTCAGACCACACTCTGACATGCTGCACTGTTGGTTCAGCCCTGATCAGCTGGGGCTTATTGCAGGGATAAGCACGACAGATAGGGGATCTGATGGCATGAGGTGGGGGTGGGGGGCTGCTCTGAATGCATCTTTGACATTAGATTAAACCAGGTCTAGAATTTTTCTTACCCCGAGTTGCAAAGTCCACATGTTGGTAAAAATGAGGGAGCACAGTCTCAAAGATCGCCTTGTATAGATTAATGGTTGTTTTAAATGTTTTGTGTGACTCCAGGTATCGCATGTGGGTGGACTCCTGTGCCGAGATGTTCGGTGGTCTAGACATCTGCGCCGTGAAGGCTGTCCACGGCAAGGATGGCAATGACTACATCATCGAGGTCAGTGTGTTATCATTAAATAGAAAGCAAAGAGAGTTCTTAGGTTTTTCATGCTTTTGCTTTTGCCATAAATATGTTTCAGGTCCTCACAAAATACTAATATCAGACATTTAACTTGTTAATTTTTTGCTTCCTGTTTGTGTAATAAAGAACTGATGTCCAGTGTGCTGGATAACAGTCCAACAGATTAACTTTTATAGGTGCACCATCAAGGTTTCAATTGACAAATGTGTATTAAACTAAATTCACGCACATACTCATGGTGGCAAACTACATGGTAGCCAGAGCTGCACTGGGGCTCACTGACAGAAGCCAAGCTGCCGTACGCTGGCGCCATCTGTAGACAATGCAAGTGAAATGTCTTGCCCAAGGACACAAGAGCACAGAAAGCCAGAGCCGGGTCTCAAACCGACAACCCTCCGAGTACAGGGCTAACCCCTGCACCTGACAACCGTGTCGCCCCAAAACAAGAACTTTTGCTCTTCACTCTTTTTACGAAAGAAATCTACTGGAACTTTCATAGTCATTTATATATTAAAATTAAATGTGATTACCGTGGAATTTAAAATGCTTAATTTAATAAAAAAAAAGAACGTTTCTAAAAACAATTTTGTAAGATGTATTATATCAGATATAACTGGTTCTGCGTGTTTGCGCTGAACTACTTTTGGTTGATCGTAAAGCCGTATTTTCGGAAAAAAAGCTCGAGGTGGAGAAAAAGCTATAGAATGGGAAAATGCTAATTTCATCAAAAGTGTCTGGAAAACGAGGAATTCGGGACATTGCTGCAGTCTGTCAATGGTAAAGATGACGAGGATTTTGCCGTGTTTTATAAAACACGGCAAAGAGCATTAAAAGCCTTACATTAGAGCAGGGGTGCCCAACCAATCGATCGCGATCTACCAGTCGATCGTGGGCGGAGTTTCAGTCGATCGCGAGAAGTTTTACAATGTAGACCTATTTATGGCTATGCCAAAAAAACATGCATGCTGATTGCTCGGCATGGTTTGCCACGGTTGCTAGGGTGTTACTATGGACTCTAAAGCGCGAAGAGGAATCTGCAGAGATAATGAGATAATGACATCTATCACAACTGAAGGGGCTCCATCTATGGTTGGGCGCACTGCGGGATTCGTTGCTCTGTTCAAGCTGTCTGAAACTTTCCCGGATTTTTGGAGCAACCACTGCATCATTCAGCAACAGCTGTGCAGCAGTATTTTAAATATGAAGCATGTCATGGACGTTGCGATGAAGATCGCTTGCCCTGTTCGGGCCGGGAGTTTTCAGAGGCGTTTATTCCATGCCCAGCTCGAGGAGGCAGGTGCAGACCACCCTGACCTGCTGCTGCACACCGACGTCAGGCGGCTGAGCCGCGGCAGATTCTTCCAAAGATTTTTGGAACTTTGTTGTTCTTCGATTCTATATAGAACAGACGGGGCATGTAAACTTGTTCTGTATATTTATTTCCAAGCTTCCACAGAACCTTTCAGTAGCAAGCTACATTCAGAACTCCGCTCTAGCCTCCAACCTGTGACGCCACGCGCCCCATTGCATGCTGGGTATTGGAGTTCAAGAGCTTTCCGGCTCATAACACCACAGGAGCTTTTGCCCGAAATTAAAGAAACAGTCAACAACCCATTCTGCTGCATGTTACATCTTCACATCCACATAGTTTGTACTTAGTATTTTCCTATTTTTATCTGTTTTCCGGTTGAATTTTAATCCATCTGCCAGTTTCTCTGCCAATGGCAACGCCCACTGAAGTTTATCATCCTGAAATAGTGGACTTCCCTTCTCCTTCTTCCTGCTTTAAAGTCATCTTAGACAGATTTTTATTTCTCATTTGGTTTACACAAGTGTAACACAAAAATAAATTTAGTTTGGAACAGCTCTCTGGACAATTTCATCTTTTTTTAAAGTGCAGCCTTGAAAAGTAGTAAGATATTTATATATATATATATATATATATAAACAGTGATATAAACATATGACTGTAAATTTACAGTTCTAACGTTTTTTTGTTTTCTCTCTACTGCCCTGTGTGTGTGTATCAATTGTTCTATTTAGATGTTTTGACTGCACAGCCTTTGTCTGGAGATCTTGACTGCTCTTTTCTATAGTGTGAGTGAGTGAGTGAGTGAGTGAGTGATATCGTGTGAAGTTTAATATTGTTAAGTTCTGTTTTTGCAACCTATTTTTTGACACAATTGATCGTTTCCCCGTTTGTTGGACTTACTGTTTATTCTCCACCTGTGCAAATAAAAAACAAATACTGCCCATCCCTTGTGTTTGGCTTGGTAGATCTCGGCATGCCATCAAATTCAAAAGTAGATCTTGGTTTAAAAAAGGTTGGGCACCCCTGCATTAGAGTTACTCATTCCTGTAAAAACCCTGAATTTAACCCTTTTACAGAGGGTAAAGTTTTGTTTGACTACTTTTTTGTGTTTTTAAATCAAATAATCTTTTAAAATGTTCTTTTTGTTTGAACTCTGCGTAGCTTGGTCTTAAAGTGATATTTGTTCTATAATCTGACTCAAAGGAAAACCTACAGAAAGCTGTTTGGGTCTAAAACACCACAGCATTCTATGTTGTGTAAGTTTGGATACATTTGGTCAGTTTACTGAAAAACAAAGTCAGTGTGGTGGAAACGTCTTCTTGGATTTGGTTTGTTTCTTTTGATCATATCAACAAGAAGGAAAGTGACCAGTCAGGCCGAGGCCAAAAACAGCAGACATGGGCGTAACCACAGTCGGTGGCGTATGATCAAGAAAGCCTTGAGAGAATAATTAGTCTGTAGACCAAACAGTCGGCTCAATGAAAACAGCAGCGGCGGTTTAACACAACCTGCTGTGTTTATAACTACAGTAAAGCTTTTAGTTTTGACTTGTAGCTGCATGTCTGTAGACAAACACTTCTAACCAGAATTAAAGTGACTCAATAAATGTGGTTGGATGTTTCTCCCGCAGGAAAACAGCAGAAGCAACTTCTGATTAGAGGAGCTAAACACATCTAGGAAATGAAACAGCTGTTTTATAATCAGATTACTCCTAAAAATACAGTCTTATGCTGAACATAAACAGCTGAAATTGTAATTTAACAAGAAGACATTTTGAAAAAACTAAAGATAAGGAATTTATTTAAATAAAATACTTAATATTGAATAGTTACTGTATGCTAATGTAGTGTTTTTTTTACTTTTTTTTTTTTTGGTCAGATTAATTCGTGAAATTGTGTTTTAATCCTGAATGTAGGCAGGTTTGGTTTTATTCAAATAACAGATTTTAATTCATATAAAGATAACTAAAATCATTCATCATCCTTTCAATTTAAGCAAACAGAAAACAAATGATCTGAATGCTTCTATTTTCTTAACATTTAACTCATTAGTTTGGTATGCTCACTATATTTAGGGAGGGAAAAACTTAATTTAGGTCTATTTTACAAAGTAAAATCAAGGACGACCCGAATTCCCTTTTTTAAATTTATTTCCATTAAACAAGGTGTTCTAATTGCAGCATTAATGGAACAGAATCCAGCTGGATCCTGTGTAATCAGCTCTGTTGTTTTTAGAACGAGTCCTTCCTCCTTGAGGTCCTGGTCGGCCATATTTAGCCTGAAAGCACCACGTCACCCCGCTCTCTATCTGCTGCCCGGTGAGGTCAGCTGTGTAGAAAGTAAACCTCCTGCTATCTCAGCGAATATCTCACAGCTCCCTGGAGAAGCGTTGTGTCAGAGTTTGGACGAGAGAAAGAGATTACGCAGTTAAGTCGCGCTGCTTCCCCCTACCTGATGCAATGATGCAGGCTGCAGGACGCTGGCTGCTGCATCAGTCTGGAGGTCTGTGCTTTTTGTTTTTGTTGGTTGGAGAAAACAGACACCGAAATTATCCGTCATAAAAAGTTACGAGCTGCTCAGCAGCACTTCATGAACTAAAGCTGAGATCTGGTTGGTGGCACCTAATAAAGATGGTGATGTCATTTGGCATATACCCCCCCCACTGCTTGATGTAATCCAGATAGGTTCCCAGGTTATTTAATATTTCATCCATCTGACACACATTGAAATGACACATAGATGAGGATGAGTCTAGAAGCACTTTGTGCTGCAGAGTCACATTGAACCATAAACAGCAGTGACATTAATCTGACTTACTGCTAATTTCAACTTTACTACTTTAATCTGATTCCTGGCTTCAAATGTCGGACTCAGATCTGTGGATAATTACCTTCCATCAGCAGCAAAACCCTAAAACTAAATCTAATGGAGATCCTTATTTGTCCGTCAGGCAGACGCTTCGGTTAAAGACGGCTTACTGTACACTGCAAAAAATCGATCTAAAAATACATTTTTCCAAAGGGTCCAAAACTATTCGAACATGTTGGTTTAAATATGTATAATTTTCCTATTCAATTAATGATGCATTAAAAGAAAAAAAAATGGAGCTTTATTTTATAGGTCGTGTTGCAGTAGTCCAGGTGATGACATCACAGGGTTGGTGGACGGTTCAGCTAGAAGTTGAATACAGAGATAAAACCAGCTGCACCTCTTAACCGTAAAAGTTTAGTTTTAGGTTTGATGGAAGACGAAGCTGAAAGGACACTGCAACGTCTATACCACATTTCTTACGCCTTTGAGCCCATTCGCTGTGGAAATTTCCACTCATGGAGGTCATCTGCACAGAGCACGCTAGGTTGACCATGCATGTTCAAAGATGGTCCTGTAGGGGCCGCTGTCCTGCAGGTTTTAGAGGTTTTCTTGCTCCAGCAGCTGATTTCTATTGATAGCTGATGAACAGGCTTCTGCTGAACTGCAATAATCAGAATCAGCTGTTAAACCTGCAGGACAGCGGCCCTCCAGGACCAACTTTGGACATACCTAGTGCGGATGCTGCGGATGCTGTTCCTGGACTTCAGTTCAGCGTTTAACACCATCATCCCACAGCACCTGGTGGGAAAGCTGGAACATCTGGGCTTCAACACACCCCTTCGAAACTGGCTGCT